ATATACCCCTAAAGCCCTATTCTAATTGCTAAAGCCCCGACATTACCTAGGACCCAAGGCCTAAGCCCTAAACAACCAGAGAAACTTCCTCCCAATATGGGCAGTTCTCTTAGTAAGGGTCGTCCCTTTTGAGGTCCCCCAAATAGTACGGCACCCTCACAAAAAAGGACCCTAAAAAGAGAGCTATATACTCAGATGGAGGTCTCGTGGGTTTCCCGTCTTGTCCCTGAATGGAACCCAAAAGAGAAAGCGCGAAGACATCCTCAAGGTGACCTGGGGAGATCCACTGCAGAGCAACTTGACAGAGGAGCTGCAGGAGGAGCTGCAGGACGTCTGCCACATCCAGGCTCCTTTTGCTGCGATTGTGTGTTTTCTGGGGTAGGGGTGTGGCAGGGGTATTAGCGTTTCTGAGTTATAGGGTTTGGGTTTTGGGGGTTTCGGTTCCGATGACTTTGCCATTTTATCGTGTGTATCTACGCTTTGGGATTAATGCACTTCAAACTGCTGATGGGGTTAGCCAGCGGATCAATAGATTTTGCAGGTTTCTGTTGTTTGTATGGATGGATGGATGGATGGATGGATGGATGGATGGATGGATGGATGGATGGATGGATGGATGGATGGATGGATGGATAGTGCCAGCTTCCGAAGATCACGGATCATGTGCAGATACACGTCAGCATACAACATGTCCAGCAACACCATCGCATTCATCAACACCATCAGCATGACAGCAATCATCAGCATCATCGTCGTCATTATCAGCATCGCGATTGTGTTGTTCAGCACCTGTAGCTATGGCAGTCGCAGCAGCAGGAGCAGGCTCAGGAGCTAGCAGCCGGAGCCAGAGCGTAGCCGTAGCCTCGCCAACATGAACAGGAGCAGGTAAGGAGGGGAGGCAGGGGCAGCGGCAGGGGCAGGGAGGCAGGGCCCAGGGCAGGAGCAGTAGGAGCGAGGAGGAGTACGAGGAGCAGCATCATGAATCATGCTATATCATGATCATCATCTAAGGTTTCGCAGTCGTGCAATATAGCACCGATAATCGGGGCTGAAAGATTTATGTATATGTATATGTATGTACGTGTATACATATATATATATATATATATATATGTAGAATGTGTGTGTATATATATATATATATATTGTTATACACATCGCAAACACACTCACACACATACACTTGTGTATGCACAAGCGAACGATCGCAAACATGGAGTTACGCACCAGCACCAGGAAGCTGCAGCAATTTCATGAACAGCAACATGTGGAACATCGTCATCATCATCATCATCATCATCGTCATCATCATCATCATCATGATCGTCATCATCATCGTGATCATCATCATCATCGTCCCCAGAACCCTGACCCTGCTTCTCCTAGTTCTTCTCGTGTCTAGTTCAACTGACAGCTCCGGAGGCATCCTTCGGAGCCTTCGCAGCCTTGCGGCGCGACGGCCACGTGGTGAGCTGGGGCAACCGAAGCGAGGGCTCTGACAGCTCCGAAGTACAGGAGTGTGATGTAGAGGTCTGAACGAAGACTTGCACATAATATTCCCCAATAGCACCCCCCCAAAAAAAAACACAAAAAACAAACAACTACAATCTACACCAAATTCCTAGTTACCTCGTAAGGCCATTTTGTTTGGCTTTGAGGATTAAAGGGTGTCGGGTCTTTCGGTTATATCAGGCCCATTGTTTTGACAGTTGATGGCGGTAAATCTTGATGGGTGGCTGGTTACCAAGTCTCGTTGATGGTCTTATGCGGCATTGAACAGGACTCCAAGATGGCTGTTTGAAGTTGGCCTAGACACCCATCTTGACAGGAGCAGCTTCGCAATGTCACGAAACTGGCTAGTACTCGGTGCGCTTTCGCTGCAACCCTTGACGATGGTCGCGTGGTCACCTGGGGTGATGCTTTCGGAGGTGGTGACAGCCGTGACGTGCAGCAGCAACTGAAGGGAGTGACAGAGGTTCAAGGCACCGACTTTGCTTTCGCTGCCATCATCCGCGGGGGTCGTGTTGTCACATGGGGCGATGCCTTCGGCGGCGGCTGCAGCAATGGCGCACAGGAGCTCTAAGTCCCCAACTTTGGGGGCTTCAGTTAGTATTGGGGTCGGGATTATTAGCAACAGTATCCCCTCATGGCCTTTTGAAGTTGCATCATGAAGCATATTCGAAGTACGAATGCTCCTACAATGCTTGAATACCTATGTAGGTTACTGTTGACCCCAGTAAACCAATCTACCATTTGGTGAACTGGAGTCTCAAAGAAAGCTTACATTGCCCTAAATTAAGAACTGAAGCTTCCCCAGCAGGCTGTTCTGAACCGCTTCACAGGCCCTGCTCACGTATTGATTGTGGTCGTTGCGACAGTAATAGTCAGTCGTCGCAGTAGTCGTGGCATACCCGGGCCGCTAACACGAACATTGAAAGCCCCATGAAGAAGGACAGCGAACAACATGATGTCCACAAGCCCGAAAATTCTCTGTGAAGAAGCAGTCACAAGACCTGCGTTACGAACTCCAAAACCTAGAACGGCAAGACGACAAGACCTCATTCCTAAGCCAAAGCCTCATGCACCTTAAAGGAACAGCTTCGGCCAATATCGAAACCCCCAGCCTATCTCGCGACCCATTCAACTTCAAACCTCAAGGTCCGACACCATCTCAAGAAAGAAAGGTTCCCTGCACACCCTGCACATGCCACAGGCTCCTGAGCCAGAAATTTCCTGCAGAGGCAAAGGAACCCTAGCACGGCAAACAGTGACGAAACAAAGGGGCGCCCATCAAAGGGCGAATGCTAGTTTAAAAAGCATATACTACACAGAGACAAACATTACAGTGTAAGCGTCATATTGTAACCCATATACAAAATTATTGCGCCCTGACAAGCCTTATAATGACCATATAGCCCTTACATAGTAACCCTGTAACACACAGAAGGAGCGACTCTGTGATATCCGGCAACTCGTGCCTGGATGCCGTGCCTTTGCGGCACTGCGAGGAGATGGTGGCGTTGTCGCTCGGAACCATTGAGTTTAGCGCTGAGGGCTTCTGAGGCTGGAAGCCGTCACTGGGGTCTAGGGTTGCGGCTGCCTGGAAATCAGCATGTGCCTAAGAGCATATGGTTTTCTTTATTGCGGTTTAGACTATACTGTTCTCTGTAACGGCTTTTTGGGCTCTCTGATTGCTGCTACGGGCCAGACAAGACACACAAACATAGGGTTAGGCTCAGGAAAACTCAGGAGTTTGCTGCAACGTCAGCATCCCCAAAACCTGAACCCTAAACCCTACACCCTAAACCCGAACGAGGTCAGTTGGGGCGACCTTTTCAGCGGCGGCGACAGTAGCGCAGCACAGGATCAGCTCCGGGACGTTCGCAAGATCGTAGCGAGACCTGCAGCACAGCAGTTCTGTTCCTTGCAGTTCAGAGTATGAATACGTCTGTCCGTCTGACTGTCTGCCTCTCTGCCTGTCTGTTTGTCGATCTATCCGTCCATGTATCTATCTAGCCAGCTGGCTGTCAGCCGCAAAAACATGCAGTCTGGACCGGGGAATCGCATCCGGCGCTCTTTCCCCTGTTCAGAACCACTCACGATACAAGATGCAAGATACCACAAATGCCGAAGGCCTGTGCTTTCGCAGCACAGTGTCGAGATTGTGGTTTCCAAAACTCGGGGACACCAGTAAAGACATCCTCACTTTAGTAGGATCCTGATAAGCACGGGACCCGGCTTTGGGGTTTTCAATTTTGTGATTTTCTGGCTAGTAACTTACTGTTAAGATGTTAGGTTTTGTTTGGGGAAACCCAGGTAGCCTCCTCCTGTGCCTTTGCCGCCCTCCTTGCGAATGGCACTGTGGTGACCTGGGGCGATCCATTCAACGGCGGTGATGTGCCAAGATTGCAAGGGCTGTTACGGTATAAGTTGCCAGCCTGCAAAACTGTAGGTTCTGCATGGTAGTCTACCCACAGGCCCCATAGTAGTTCCTTTTTGGGGTTCATATTTAGAATCCTATAAGGTAATCCCAAAAAGGAACTATTATGGGCCCTATGGGCTCTGTAAACCCCAAAGTCTTTCAGGCTCGAGCTTCAAATCCTGAACCTTCCATATGCCTGAGGCTCGACTCGTCATTTATAGGCCCCAAAGTGTGCTTCAACGCAGTAATAAATGGGCCGAAATAAGTACCAATACTTTGTTTTTTATTTCTTTTTTTTGGCCCCAAAGTGTGCTTCAACGCAGTAATAAATGGGCCGAAATAA